TATCAATGGAAGAGAAACTTGAGACAATCAAGACTGGACAAAGAGAGATTATAAAGAAGGTAGCTGACGACTATGGAATTGGATAGGTAACAGTCTCAGGTTTAATAGGCTTTTCTTAATCCCTCCATATTATCCGACATGTTCATTTATCCGACGTTCTACCAGCCTGTTTATGTTGGATAAGCGAGACTCTACTGTACTCTGAATCTCCACTTGAACCTCCAGCACACAAGGGACTGAAAGGCATCTCCAGCATGAGGTGGGACTATGCCTGAGCACCAAAGCCTTCTTCCTCCACCCAGCTCCACCAAAAAGAACATAGATCCAATACTCAGAGGAGTATCTCATAAAGACTTGAAGCCATATTTATTTATTTATTTATTTATTGTGACATCAGCAACCAGACATTTGTATTACATTTTTAACAAAAACAAACAAACAGACAGACAAAACACAGAATTTGCAAGCTTGGTAGTTGATTAAATGTCCTTTGACCAGTAGCTGGCCACTTGGAGTGCCTCTGGTGTTGCCGCAAGGAGTCCTCCATTGTGCATGTAGCAGGGCTCAGGTTGCATTGCAGCAGGTGGTCTGTAGTTTGCTCTTCTCCACAATCGCATGTCGTGGATTCCACTTTGTAGCCCCGTTTCTTAAGATTGGCTCTGCATCTCGTGGTGCCAGAGCGCAGTCTGTTCAGCACCTTCCAAGTCGCCCAGTTTCTGTGTGCCCAGGGGGGAGTCTCTCATTTGGTATCAGCCGTGGATGGAGGTTCTGGGTTTGAGCCTGCCACTTTTGGACTCTCATTTGCTGGGGTGTTCCAGCAAGTGTCTCTGTAGATCTTAGAAAACTATTTCTTGATTTATGTTGTTGACTTGCTGGCTGATACCCAAACAAGGGATGGCTGGAGATGTCACTGCCTTGGTCCTTTCACTATTGGCTGCTACTTCCCGGCAGATGTCAGGTTGTGCAATACTGGCTAAGCAGTGTAATTTCTCCAGTGGTGTAGGGCGCAGGCACCCCGTGATAATGCGGCATGTCTCATTAAGAGCCACATCCACTGTTTTAGTGTGGTGAGATGTGTTCCACTCTTGGCATGCATACTCAGCAGCAGAGTAGCATAGCGCAAGGGCAGATGTCTTCACTGTGTCTGGTTGTGATCCCCAGGTTGTGCCAGTCAGCTTTCGTATGATATTGTTTCTAGCACCCACTTTTTGCTTGATATTCAGGCAGTGCTTCTTGTAGGTCAGAGCATGGTCCAGAGTGACTCCCAGGTATTTGGGTGTGCTGCAATGCTCCAGTGGGATTCCTTCCCAGGTAATCCTCAGAGCTCGGGATGCTTGTCTGTTCTTAAGGTGAAAGGCACATGTCTGTGTTTTAGATGGATTAGGGATCAGCCGGTTTTCCCAGTAAGAGCACCTAGAGCTTCGGAGAGCTTCTGTTCAACCATCTCAAAGCTCAATGACAATACTTAACATTTTACTCAAGGAATTCCAGTAGCCTGGTTTCTCCCTGCATTAAAAACCATGCGTCGGTGGAATTTGCCCTCATTCCACATTTCCCAAATCAAGCTAAAACATTAGGGGCTTGGCAAAAAATATACAAAGGCTGTTACCAAAATATGAATGTACCATCAATTCAGTTTCAAACCACAATATCCCAGACCATCCTGAGCATTGAAAAAGTTGAAAAGGTCATGTTTGCTGTATGTACGGCCTGATATAGTGTACTCAGAAGAGGGCCATTAAACACATATTGTAGAGTTAAGCAAATTATGTTTGCTCTCGTAAAAAAATGGGCTCTCTTCCAGCTCGAGTGACTGGCAATAAAATCAATCATGGACTCTGGTTAAGATGTTGACGCTAAGCTCTCGACCGCAGTATGGGTTACGGATGCAGCAAGCGATGCTGCGCCGGAGAAGCAGTTCTGGCGACGGGCTAATGGTTGTTGTTCAGGAGAGGATGGCTCGACCCGTTCTTGTGTCCATTTTTCATGTACTCCTCTTCGGCATCACTGAAGGAGTCTTCCTCCTCTTCATCGCTCCTGTCATCTTTCACATTCTAGGGGAGAAAGAGCAGGAGACAGCATTAGCAGAAGCCAACGTGCGTTCCTATTCGTGACTGTGGAGGAAGAGTCAAACAGGAAAGAGAAAAGGGAAACAGGACAACACTCAAAAGAGAGGTAAACAAGTCATTCTTGGATGCTGGAAGATTTGCTGTGGCTGAATAGCAATGCACTTCGCGATACAATCACAGGCATTCAAAATAATATGGCTGACTCATTGCCATAAACTAGAATGTTTACATTAGCAAATGTATGTGTTCTGGTACAGCTGTACCAGGAGCTCCAACTTTATTTGCTTTGCATTGAATGTTTGGTTGCAGTCCTGTGTTTCAGGGTCTCTGCAGATAGGTGGCTTCTTTTGGTTGCAGTCATAGGGCAAGTCACCTGTCCATCGTCGTTAAATTTGGTCCCGCCCTTTGCTCAGGGCAATTGGGAAGGGAGCCATTTTTAGTTAGTCTCAGCAAGGTTAGCTTATGTATAGGATGCGTATAACTTCCCCTGTACAAAAGCTTCAACCTTTAAGGTTTTCCAGGGAAGCCTCCCCAAAGCTTTAAAGAATTCCGGGGGAGAACAGTTTCAAGAGTCTCCTAAGAATTTCCAGGAAAACAGCCCTAAAGTCCAAAGAACTCCAGCTGGAGAACATCTACTGCCTTGCTGGTAGGTCCATTCGGCGTTCAAGACGCAGTTCAACTCGGTAGCAGAGCCCACGTCAGTAAGCCTGGGAGAAGTTAAAAAGGGGATTTTCCTTTAAAGAAGAAGTTATTGAAGACAGTTGCCTGTCCTTCGTGGGCAAGATTAGGAATTCACCAGTTGCCTAATTTTACTGAAGTTTAGAGAAGTTTCTGTTTGATTGTTCATTAATAAAGGACTTTGTTGTACTTCACAAGCCATCTAAAGACTATTTGTGGTGAAGCCCTCTGAGAACTTCTCTTTGGGCCCCCTGGCTTCCTGTTGGGCAAAAGTTGCACATCCTATTCTAAAGACAATTACTTACAGGCCCAGCGCGCGACAGAACAGTATGCATAAATTGCCACCATCACCAGGTTGTGTCCATCACATATAGGGCTTGGCCACACCAATGGCACATTTCATCGCCATTGCAGGCAGTTTCCAGTAGATAGTACACTGATAGATTGTCAAGTCTCAACCTAATACGTGCCATGTGCTTTTGACTACAGTATGACCCCCAGCCCCCCATATCCACAGGACTAGTACCAAGAGTTTAATGTAGCCACTTCCAACACAATATGGTGCTACCCAGAACAACTCCATGGCGATCTTGGCCTGCAAGGCATTCATTTCAGTAGGGTTTGCTATTATCCATGGTTTCACATATCCACGTGAAGTCCAAAATACAATGGCCATACTGTACTACTAGGCTTGGTTGATCCAGCTCGTTAATTTCTAATATCGTTATGAAATCGTAAATAAAATACCTTTAGACGCGATATCGACACGTTTTGGCAACCCGGAAGTGTTTTTGCCATATCGAAGCCGCGTCCGCCATCTTCCTTACGACTTCCGGCAGTGAATCGTAAATGCTGGGGGCGTGGCCTTCAGGAACAGCTGTTCTTACCCACGCCCACCTCCTTCCTCTTTGCATCGGCGGCTTTGCGAGGTGGGCTTTGCGAGGTGGGCGTGGCTACCTCCCTGGCGACAAGCGGCGATGCGGAAGAGCTGGGCGTAGCCACGCCCACCTCGCAAAGCCCACCTTGCAAAGCCGCCGATGCAAAGAGGAAGGAGGTGGGCGTGGGTAAGAACAGCTGTTCCTGAAGGGAGAGGTGGGCGTGGCCAAGCACAGCGCTCCTTGGAGGTCGCTGGGGGCGTGGCCTCCAAGGAGGGCTGTGCTTGGCCACACCCACCTCTCCCTTCTGCATGACGGACAGCTTGCCAGGAAGGGAAGGAAAGGTGAGAGAAGCTCGTCGCATGGGAAGGAAGGGAAACTGTGAGATTTTAATGGTTCTGGAGGGAGAGATAGAATCATAGAATCATAGAATCAAAGAGTTGGAAGAGACCTCATGGGCCATCCAGTCCAACCCCCTGCCAAGAAGCAGGAATATTGCATTCAAATCACCCCTGACAGATGGCCATCCAGCTCTGTTTAAAAGCTTCCAAAGAAGGAGCCTCCACCACACTCCGGGGCAGAGAGTTCCACTGCTGAACGGCTCTCACAGTCAGGAAGTTCTTCCTCATGTTCAGATGGAATCTCCTCTCTTGTAGTTTGAAGCCATTGTTCCGCGTCCTAGTCTCCAGGGAAGCAGAAAACAAGCTTGCTCCCTCCTCCCTGTGACTTCCTCTCACATATTTATACATGGCTATCATATCTCCTCTCATCCTTCCCTTCTTCAAGCTAAACATGCCCAGCTCCTTAAGCTGCTCCTCATAGGGCTTGTTCTCCAGACCCTTGATCATTTTAGTCGCCCTCCTCTGGACACATTCCAGCTTGTCAATATCTCTCTTGAATTGTGGTGCCCAGAATTGGACACAATATTCCAGGTGTGGTCTAACCAAAGCAGAATAGAGAGGTAGCATTACTTCCCTAGATCTAGACACTATGCTCCTATTGATGCAGGCCAAAATCCCATTGGCTTTTTTTGCCGCCACATCACATTGTTGGCTCATGTTTAACTTGTTGTTCACGAGGACTCCAAGATCTTTTTCACACGTACTGCTCTCAAGCCAGGCATTGTCCCCCATTCTGTATCTTTGCAGGGAGGAGCACCTTCCATTAACGAAACAAAGAAAGCAATTCGTATTTCCTGGTATTTCCGATCTTTTTTAAAGAAATTTTCGCAAATAATTTCAAAATCGAGCCACCAGCACCCCCTATATACGAAACGAGTTTGGAACCATTTTTTTTTCTTGATCAACCAAGCCTATGTACTACTATAGCCTTCATCAGTCACAGTAGCACACAGTTGAGTGTGAGGGAGAGTGAGGCCAAATCCAGTAAGTTCTTGCCAGAGTAAATCCTTGACTTTTCCATACCACTTTTTATCCCTCACAATATCAGCGATGAACAATGACCGCATCTCCATATATGAATCCGGAGAGGCCCTGCTCACGATCCCACCTGCGTCGCAGGCACGTTTGGTGGGGACAAGGGACAGGGCCTTCTCTGTGGTTGCCCCCTGACTTTGGAACACCCTCCCCAAAGACATTAGACTAGCACCTACATTGGCAGTCTTTAGGAAGAACTTGAAGACCTGGCTATTCTGATGTGCCTTTCCGGAATAGTATAACCTCCAGCACTACGTCCCAGAAGCACTTTATTAGAGCTTAAGACTCTCTGCACATTGCACTTGCCCAGAATCCTAACATATCACCTCTTACACCCAGCACTTTGGATTTCAATGACTTCTCTGTGTAGTCTGACATGGTGGTTGTGAGAGTGGTCCAGCACTTCTGTGTTCTCAAATAATATGCTGTGTATTGTTATTGTTTGTTGTTGTTGTTGTTGAGGCCTTGGCCTTTGTAAGCCACATCGAGTCCTTTGGGAGATGCTAGCGGGGCACAAATAAAGTTTAATAATAATAATAATAATAATAATAATAATAATAATAATGCAATTTTCCTGGAAAAAATAAAGCACATGAATCTCACAGGTAAGCAAGCCGCATTTCAGCCAAACTGAATTTGCAACTTACCTGGTTCTTCTGGTCTCTCATCTAACATTTCCAACAACTTGACCCTGACTTCCGCCCTGCTTCCCCACTCACCCATTTGGAGGTTAAGTTTCCATGAGATCAGAGTGAGGTTAAGAAAGGGAAATCAAAGCAACAGTTCTTCCAAACTCAACCACACAACATAAACTTCCTGGGGTTCTCACTGTTGTCTTTTCCAGAGCATTACGTGGAAGGGTATCCAAACAAACAAATCGTACTGTAAATATTCTAACATAAACTTGGCACATCATCAGTAAGAAGACAGGAAAAACAACCTTTTCCCCATAGACAGCTGATGAGGTATTATCTTGTTCAAATCACCCACTGGTGCTTCCTGAGTCGAATCTCATTTAAGAAAAGGCAACACTTTTTCTAGGGGTCCAAGGTGACACCGGAGACAAAGAACACCCTCCAGGAATCAAAAGGGACATGTGTGCCTGGCAGAAATCTGGGTGCCTTGCAGCCTTGGGTCAGCACATGCTGAAGTTACCTCTGGTCTAAATATGAACATGTAGATGTGTTTGTGATGATATATTTCCATGCCTCAGACTTTGATGACCGCCTTCAGACTTTGTACTGTGCAGGAACTATCTCACCTAGCTTCACAAGCTCGGTCTGAAGATGTTTCATGGTGTTTTCCCAGAGGCGGCCCTAGGTAATTTTCAATGGTAAGCAAACAGTATCCCCCCCCCCCCAACCAATCACTGATATATATTTTCTGTTTGTCGTGGGAGTTCTGTGTGCCATATTTGGTTCAATTCCATCATTGGTGGAGTTCAGAATGCTCTTTGATTGTAGGTGAACTATACATCCCAGTAACTACACTTGCCGCACTTGCTCCCTTGCCTGGCCCGCTTTGGGTCTGGAGGCGTGCCTGAAGACCCCGGCGTGTGCACCAAAAGTCACCTCTTCTCCTGACTTTCTCCTCAGCCATTGGGACCAAGAGAGAGAGACAGAGGTGGAGATGCCCACCTTTCCTGAAGGTAGGTGCAAAAACAAAGGAGGGAGCGGAGGTGGGAGATACCTCCAGCCGGAGGGGCTCTCTCTCTCTCTCTTTCTCTCTCTCTCTCGCTGAAGAGAAAGTCAGAAGAGGCGACTTTTGGTGCGCACGCTGGGGTCTTCAGACACGCCTCCGGACCCAAAGCGGGCCAGGCGCGGTGGCTCCGCCTCTTGGCCCACCCGCGGATTGGGGAGAGGAGGCGGGTGGAGCGCCAGGGGATCAGGAAAGGGAGCTGGTCATGGGGAAGGGATCGAACGCGGAGAACGATTGAGCTCTGGCTCTGCTCGCGCACCCGGTGGCCGGGTGGAGCAGGAATGAGAGGGGCTAGGCA